GTGTGTGTGTGTGTGTGTGTGTGTGTGTGTGTGTGTGTGTGTGTGTGCTAAGAGCTATTTGGATCATGAAGGCTCTGATCATCCATCCACCCATCCACCCATCCACCCATCCACCCATCCATCCACCCATCCATCCATCCACCCATCCATCCACCCATCCATCCATCCATCCATCCATCCATCCATCCATCCATCCACCCATCCACCCACCTATCTCTGGCCATCACAGGTGAACAGACTCCTTTGTTACAACCTGTCACCATAGTATTCTGCCTCCTGTCACTCCCAGAACAGTGGAGCTGATGACCTTTTTCTGAAACTACAAGCAACAATACAAACCTTTTAGAACTTGTGTGTGTGTGGGGGGGGGGGATGACTTCATTGGCAATATGCTTGCTTTACAGGCATGAGGACCTGCATTTGGATCCCTAAAAACCAGGCATGACAGCATGCATCTGTAACCTCAGCTCAGGTTGAGGCAGGGAATAATAGAGAGATAGGAGGATCCATGGAGCTCATTAGGTCACTATGGTTCCAGATTCAGCGAATAGACCCTGTCTCATAACATAAGGGACAGAGTGATCAAGAAAGAAACCTGGCCTCATCCTCTGGCCTCCATATATATGAACATACATAGAAAACCATTCTTCTTTACAACCATGTTTCTGTAATGGAAATCTGACTAATATAGTCATTTTTTTTCAAAGTATCTTCAGGAAGACGTGTCTAGTTTATATTATGATCTCCCTGACCCTAGTTATAGAAGGATAGCGCTATAATGATTCAGGAGAAGAGAGAGTCTGTGGTTCAATGTTCTTTTCAGTACATGTCACCTTAAGAAGTTCTTACCATCTCTGAGCCTGAATGTAATCTATCTATAAAACACAGGCTATAAGCACTCAGTGTGTGTGTGTGTGTGTGTGTGTGTGTGTGTGTGTTTCTGATGGGCTCTAACAAGGAGTTTATATATGCTCGGAAAGTGCTTTGTCCCTGAGCTGCATCCCCATCTGACTTAGAAGCTCACATTGGAGTTCAGAATATTTCTTCTTAGGTTAGCATAGAAAGATACAACACTATTAGAGATGTTGATGGCGGTGTGAGCAGAATGAAAGATTAGGTAGACTTTCAGAAGTACTGAACAGAACCACCACCATCATCATCTCTTTTGTTTGTTTGTTTTTCAGGACAGGGTTTTTCTGTGTAACAGTCCTGGGTGTCCTGGAACTTGATTTTCAGATCAGGCTGGCCTTGAACTCACTGAGATCCTCCTGCTTCTATCTCTCAAGTGCTTAAGGCATGTGCCACCACCACTTGGCTTCTAGTAGCATTCTTGAGAGTTATGTTCTACGCATCACATTCCCATTCAGGGTGAGACACCTCAGTGCCCTATCTCACCACCCCTAAGTCCTTTGCCTCAGCCCACTGTTGAAAACACCTCTGCTCATACTTGTAGGGATTTTCATCTAAGTGCCTGGGTCAGGAAGCTCTTTGTTGGTTGTCAAGTCACGGGGAGGAATTCTCAAAGGATGCCTCACAGTGTGCATATTTATTTACTTTACCTGGAGTCACAGGCAAAAATCTTCTTTAAAAAATCTAAGAATGATATATAGTACATACTCTATTTTGATGTAAAGCAAATTCTTTACACAGTGCAAATATCCGTGCTAACGATAACGCTTATCGGGATTATTTATTACAGGGCATTAAAATAAATCTTCTTTTCAATTACTTTCTAATGAAATGTACCAATTACCTTTTGAATGGTGACATATGGCTGTAATCTATTCCAGGGGGGATAAATCTTGCTTGTACAATGTTCCAAGGACTCCCTCCTGAACTGCATTAATTACTGGTGTAAACAAAGATGGAAGATTATGATCAGTCTTATCGATAAATCCTCAGCTTGCTGCAGTCAAGTTCCTTGGGTTAGACCACATTAATCATCAGGTAATTTCTAACAGCTACGGTGTGAATCTGCTCACAAAGCGACGTTTCGGCAACCCAGCTGATGGTGGGGCATGTTTATTAAGGTGGGTGACTCCTATGATAATGGGGAGAATGGTGGGGCATGTTTATTAAGGTGGGTGACTCCGATGATAGTGGGGAGAAAAAAACACATGGACTATTGTACACAGTGGCATGGGAGGCATACCCTAAGCGCTGGGTGAAGAGAGGGCCCGTTATTACAGGAAAATATCAGTCTGTGTTTCTGAATGCTTTATCTGAAGGCTGTTGATGAAAGCGGAGCTTCTGCCAGGGCCAATCTTCTGCATGACTATAACTCTGGTGCTATCGTTCCCTGATACCACATGAGTTACATGACTAAAGAACTGGAGTAGAGGCTAGGAAGGACACAGTCAAGTTCCTGGTTTCTGAAAAGTGGCATTGCCATTACTTTCTCACCAATTCATCAAGTCATTTCCTCCACTTCTGAGTACCTTTTTGGTCTCTTTACTGGAAGGATGAATGAGATATTGAATATAAAATACAGTTGTACCTTCTTACTCTCAAGAGATGTGTTCTATGACCCCCAAGTGAATGCCTAAGACCTCAGAGATCCAAATATGTTATAAGATTCTGTTCTATATGTGCACATTATTCTGCATCCTAACATATATTTGTGTAATCAAATACTGAACTTCCAATGTCTCCGTTGACAGAGTCTTTGCTACAGGCTGCTGCACATTCCTTGAGGTCCATCTGTGCCATTCCCTTGATACCTCACTAGGTTTACTCTCTCCCCCAACAATGTAGTGTCTGATCACTCTGGTCAACCTTCAGCAGAAACTAGCTGACTGGATTCAGACTCCCCTTCCCTAATGTTTGTTTCCTTTTATTGACTCCTATCCTGCCCTTTGGTTACAAATTCTTACTTACCCATGTTTTATTCAAGGTTGAACTCAATATCTCTTCCCTCTACTTTATCAAATCCCTGTAGTCCTGCAGCTTTAACATAATTCTATAGATGTTTATGGAGCTTGACTTTGTATGGAGAATATAGTAAACTATTTAATATAGTTTATTGCTATCCCTAATTTTTGCATTTATGGAAAATGAGGATCAAAAAAAAATTCAATGACTAGCCCATGCCATCGAGCTACATCTGAGGCCAAGAACTCTGGCTCCAAAGTCATTTTTTATCATGCTTCTCTGGGTAAAAAGAAATATAAACTGACATCTAAAATAGCAAAAACATGTACTATAAGAGGTTGAGAAGATGGTAGATTATCCCAGATAGAATGGTATTTAGTCCACACTTGTAGGAACTTAGCTATATTTTCTAAGGAGAAAGAATATAGGAGACTGTTCCAGGCAACATAATTGTGAACATTTTGTGATACAGGGAGGTAAAAAAAAATGAAGCATGTAGGTTGAAATGAGACAAACCATCATGACTTCGTTAGTTAAGAGTATTGTGTGCTCTTTCCTCTGAAGGGTACTAAGCAGGAAGTGATGTGGTAGAGACAGTTACAGCAGAGGGTATCAGGCAAGCATCCAGACATGGGAGGACTAATGTTGAGGGAGGTGGTGTCCAGATGTTTACTATTGTTCTGTCATCACATACGTTCTACAGTATAGGGTAAGGTGTGGGAACGAGCGCAGGACAGAGCTAAAGGGCTCTACCGTGGTGTTAGCCACAAAGGGGCAGCAGCGCTTCCACGGGAGACGGGCATATCGGTAGGCAGTAGCATTGGGACCTGAGACTCAGATAACTTTCAGTTATTATAGAACACAGGCCTCTGAGAAGAAATAAGTAGGATAGTAATGTCTCTATTTTTAAGAGTTGGCCATCTTCAAGATGGATTATTTGAAGATAATTACTTAGACATATAGTTGGAAAGAATAAAATTCTTAGGAGATGACTCAAATTTGAAAATGAAAATAGTGATGCAATGCTGGGAAGTGACAAGAAATATAGACAAAAGGAGTTTGAGATTAATTCATGAAAATAGGGAGGTACAGATTAATGAACATCAATATAATTAAGAGTTACTGATGGTGAAGCAAAATGCCTTTTGTCTTCTTATCGTCACGGACTAGAAGGCTTTTATCATTCTTTATTCTAGACATGTGTGCCAATTTGTTGTGTCTGAATGCTGACTAGGCAGTGGGCTTGGGATGACTACCTGGTTGATACGTCAGAAGATGGGCCAACCGCAGAACGAATGGAAGGCTTGCTATGCAGTTGGACACCCCGGTCAGGACTAGGGTAACCATTTTCTTCAACTGTAATAGAAACAGGAAACACTCATCTGCAGAAAGAGAGACAATCTATCTTACGTGGAGATGGTAGCCTTTTCATATCTATAAGTCCATCGGGCTCAGCTACCTTTGGGTTCTGGATCACACACTTACTTCTTTGTGGCCAATTGATATGATATTAAGATAGCATGACAGTGGCGTGAAGAGCGTCTGCTGATGAATCACAGACTCTTAGAAGCTCCAGCTTGGCCTTGGGATAAAGGGTATCCAGTGACGTCACTTTTTATACACAATGCTTCTTAATTAAGCTGGGCCCTCAGGTTTCATAGCTTAACTCCTTATAGTGTTCATTCTAGATAATCCTTTAACATTTCAGACTTATCACTTAACTGGCATCTCACTTTTGGGTTTCCCCTTATGCATTCAAACTCCACAGGTCCCATGTTTGGCCATTTGATAGCACTACAAATCCTGATCTCAAATAGTGGCACTGCCAGCCTTGGTCACCACTTAGGATTCATTTCTGAAACTGTCCCTCAGGGCTTACTGACAACTGACCTACAGCATGTGAATCTTAGTGGAGTTAGATTGTGTTGTGATGAGTGCGAAGAATCTTGGCAAAGTGCCAGCCCTCAAAGTAATGTAGGTGGAAGGAGATTGATCCACAAGTCTCCCCGGCTCAACCGGAAGGTGTTCTTGGATTCTGGCTATTGAGGATGAGGACCTGTCAATTTCATGAAAGAGCCTTAAACAACCACCTAAATGTATGAAAGGACTTAACTTAAATGCATTATTCTGCAAGTTTAATATAATACGTACCTATACATACACACACAAACCACAACAACAATAACAACAACAACATGCCTTTAAGAAGCCATATCATCTGAAATAACATGTAGCTATGGTATTTTCCTGTGTCACAGATCTATCTCCCTGCATTGTTCAGAAATTACATAGCAGACTGATCATCTTAACATGAATGTCACATTCCACCCTAAATTAGTTCTTGGTGTCTGGTTATGCATAGTAGGACGTATTCCATGTTAGATAACCCACAGTGGTCCCCATAGTCACTAGGCTTTCTCTAGCCTCCCAACTCTAATTCCCCACTGCTTTACATCCTAGAACTCTTGCTAATCTGTGCCACCTCAGTGCCTACTGTTATTACCCTATTCCAAGTTAATCGACAGCTCTACTCTGTACCCTCACAATGCCTTCCTATGACCTTTGATTTTTCTGTATCTATGCATATGTGTATGCATGTGTGTATGGATGTAACATGTGTGTACAGGTGCACATTGCAGTGGTAGAGGTATAGAGGTGTGGAGGTTAGAGGAAACACTTGGGTGTTGGTCTTTGCCTGTCGGTTTCTTTGAGACAGTCTCCTCATTGTTTGCTGCTGTGTGCACTAAGCTAGCTGGCCCTGGAGCTGCAGATTCTTGTGTCTCTACCTCTAGTTTCCCCATAGAAACACTGGGGTTACAGACATGCACTGCTCTACCTGACTTTATTTACAGGTCAGGTAGATTAACTTAACTTAAATGCATTACTCTGCAAGTTTAATATAATATGTACCTATACATACACACACAAACCACAACAACAATAACAACAACATGCCTTTAAGAAGCCATATCATCTGAAATAACATGTAGCTATGGTATTTTCCTGTGTCATAGATCTATCTCCCTGCGTTGTCTAGAGATTTCAGCTCAAGTGCTCACGTCTGCTCAGAGGTTATAGTGCAACCGCCCCCATTATCTAGTTTCTTAATTGATCTTCATCATGGACCCTTCCAACCCATTCTATTATAGTAGGAGAGTGTTCATTTAACCCCAAAATTCACTACATTGTGTACACACACACACACACCTATCTTAAAATATTTCCTTAGATTCTTACTGCTTAGAGACTAAATGTGGAAAATAATAACCTGGCTCTCAAAGTCGTACATTCTCTAAATTTTCTACACCTCTTCTATTTTATTTTTGACCTTGGTCTTCTACACTGCCAGCCTTCCAGATCTCACACACACTAAGCTTCCTTATTAAAGACTGTGCTCATATCATGGGCTCTAGGGCCTTTCTTCAGAACATCCTTTGGAGCCTACCTCCAGCATCACTAAATATGTCAGGGTATTCCCAGCTTTGTGAACTTGCTTGAGTTCCTGATATCACATGTTTGGTTGGCATCCTGGTTCTTCTCTGCACAACATTAGCCCTGTTGCAACTGTATATGTACTTGTGGAATTTGTTAATGAATTTACATTGCTCACTAGAACATTTCGTTGCACAGAGCGAGCCTCCCAACCCGGTTATTTTCTTCACCACTCTGTTCCATTGGCAAGATGGTGGTGGTTCCCTTGAGGGCTGCCCCATGTGTTGGGTGAACATGTGGCCAATAGTCTCTATTGACACTCCAGTACCTCACTCATGCATTTGGGAACCGCAATAAATGTGTGATAGACAACAAACATTGAAGGGCAGGATTAAGATTCCAGCTCATCTTGCCTCTCAATCACCAGGCTCTTTCCCTTTCACTCTTCCGAGTCCAAGAAGTTGTATCACTTCAACAGTGGATTTTACCCAGCTCCAGCCAGGCCATCGGATCTGGCAGTGCAGGGAACAAAGGAACTTTTCATCATCTCTACACGGAGAACTATTAAGAACATGACTTCAAACTGATATACTCCTTCTCCTTAAATAAAAAAGGGAATTGTTTATTTTAATTATATGTTAAAT